GTGGCTGATCCCATCGTCTCACATGCAGACAGCCTTCGAACCAAGGCGTTGTCATTCATCATCTTCTTCATTGAATACGCAAGAGTCAAGGTAACGGCCAAAGGCAAACCTTCAGGAATTGCCACAACAACAATTGTGATTGCTGCAGCTAAAATATCCAGAGCAGAATTCACTACATCATCGAACTTTGTCTTTCCTCCATAGAATTCTCTGTTCCCCTTGTCATCTGTGGTGTGTCCGGTGAAATAACGAATCAGAGAAACGGCAAGAACAAGCACAGCCACTGCCAAACCAACCTTCCCAATATATGATGTAAGCTTGTCAAGCCGTGCCTGTAAAGGTGTCTGCTCATCTAAATCCCGGCTTATTGAGCTCATCATCTCGCCCCAGGCTGTGTTCATGCCCACAGATGTTACAAGCATCAAACCAAACCCATCCGTCACCTTTGTGCCAGATAACAAAAAGGGATGGTTTCCACTATTTATCTCAATGTGTTCGCTTTCCCCGGTCATGCTGGATTCGTCCACCTTCAATGAATGCCCTTCCATGAACACCCCATCTGCCGGAACCTGATCCCCAATCTTCAGGCAAACAAGATCACCCACCACAATATCAAATATTGATATAGGACGGCGTTGTCCAGATCTCACAATTTCAACACTTATATCACTACTCTTGGTCGAAAGCTTATCAAATTGCCTCGACTGCTTGAAGTTCGAGACAGCAGTGACAATAACGACTAACAAGACAGCAAGAACAATGCTACCACCATCATACCAACCGTTTTTCAAGCCATGCTTTTTAATGCCAAACCCTAGAGAGAGTATAGCACATACCAGAAGTATTATGATGGTTGTGTCCTTGAATGCTTCAATGAAAAAACTCATGAAGTTTTTTGCAGGCGGCTTCTGAAACACATTGGCTCCAAAAACATCTTTCCTATGCATCAAATCAGCCTCTCCCCCGCCAATTCCCCCCTTCACATCAGTTCCAAGAGTAGAAGCCAAATCTTTAACTCCTCCAAATTGACTCAAAAGATCAAGGTTCTTGTCCTTCACCATATCAGTAAGCGCCTTCTGATCAAGATCAAGCAAAGAACGACTGCTCTCACCTGCACTATCGTCTTCGTTGGTGGGTACATCAATGGATATGTAAGAGATGGATCGAGGTACTTGGCCCTTGTCATAAATTACTTTCTTGGCAAGTGTATTAAGAGCCCTGGTGAAGGATATGACCGTCAAGGCCAACCTCCACCTCTGCTTGTGCGTTTTCGGTTCTGGTGGTGCATGTTCTTCAGCACTAAGGGCCTGTTCAGCGGGTTTTCGTGACCTCCGAGACATGGCAATGGACAAGGAAAACCGCTAGTTGATGAAGATCAATAAACAGTAAAGCAAACTAAAGTTGAGCCAAAAAAAGGGTTTAATGAGTGATAATATTTGAGGAAAAGAGAATTCGTATAGGATATATATACAGGATGGTCGCTTCAAAATAAGGAAGGAGGGAAGAAAGTTCACTGTAGCTTCCTGGTAATTGACTGCATTTAATTACTCCTACCCGTAACATTAACTTTCTGTTTTTTTTCTTTTCTTAATGGAGAAAAAAGATTTGCTTTATTTCTTTCCTGTTTGTTTTTCCTTATTTTCCTGTTTCATAACTTACATATAGCTTCTTCCTTTTTATTTTTTTGGATTACATACTAATCCGATTGGATTGGATTGAGGAAAGTTTAGATTTTGGATTCATATTGAAGTTGTTTATTAAACCATATAGAATTGGAGTAGGAGTAGTACTAATTCTTTATAAGTTGTTTACTAAATTCACAAGAATTGAAATTGAAACCAA